CTCTCTCTCTCTCTCTCTCTCTCTCTCACTCTCTCCCTCTCCTCTCTCTCTCTTTCTCTCCCTGCTCTCTAACATGCAGCCGTTCGGTGAGACATTTCGTCAACCACGTGTAGGACAGATCCACAGTATTCCGTGTGCACAAGATTTTTCGTAAAATCCTCGCTCGGTGCTTATCTCTCGTGCGAATACAATAACGTATTCTGGCAGCACGTTTATCGTGTTTTTTGGACTCCGTTAAGCGTGGTGGCGTGAGACCGAGAACTCGAAAAGGGGCTGTCTAGTGCACAGTTGAATAGTGCTTGCTCCTCGACGTAACTGACCTCCGCCTTTTTTCCGATATACAAAAAACAGGTCGAAAGGAACACCCTTCCATGGACGCACAATCCCTTTCTCCCTTTCTCCCCTTTTTCAGGCACTGAACGAGGCTCTCGAAGACCTTTCTTTCACGCCGGGCACAAACTCGAACGCTCGCAACACCGACGACTTGGCATCACTAACTATTACGGTCAGTGACCTCGGCTTGTCTGGTGCGGGCGGTGTACAGGAATCCGAACCCTTGCTTATCCGTCTGGTCTTGTACGCGGTCAACGACGGCCCACGGCTAGACCTGCCGGACTTTTTTTCGGCACGCGAGGATGTTCCGTTGTTGATGTCGGGGATCAGCGTATCGGACGCTGATTCGCATGAATCAGGAGGTGAGACCGCCTTTCCGCTTCAGGAAACGTGTATCCATAGATATTTATTGTAATGAGCACTGAGGAGTGGTCAAGGTTAGTAGGATAAAAACTGTCGCAGGAAGATAGCCGTTCGTTAGTCAGCAATGTGAAGGATAAAAAGAACCTCCGAACTAGGTTGTGCCAAAATGTTTTTCGTAGCGAGCCTAGCGGGCAGACAGTCCACACACGTAAAACGAAAATCTAAGGGCGGGAAAAGCCCTATTCAGCTAGCCTAGCAGTATCTGTCTTGACGAATGCGCTTCCGTGACCCTTGTTCGCCAGGAAATGCCCTAATGGAAGTTTACTTGTGGGTGCACAACGGCACCCTTACGTTGACGTCTGATGATTCCGTCTGCTCGGAGGGAGCCCTGGATGGGATCGGAAGAAAATCTATCAATTTCCAGGGCCCTCTCCATGCAATTAACAAGGCACTCTCAGGGCTGGTGTACCTGGTGAGATCTTGCTGAGGGTTGCTGTCGCTCCTCGTTTTGGCACTAAGGGAGCATTCTCACCTCCACACACTGCACCTGAAGAAAGCCTAATTTGAACTGCGCGCATCGCGGTGCTTCCCTAGTCAACAAACATATTTCTTATTGGTGCGTGGGGTGGCACATGTTGCGGCAGTGCACTTGACAGCATCCCCACCTATTGGCGGTCACCGTATTTCGTCCTGCCTCACCGTGGTTTCTGTTCATCCTTCATAAACTTCTACCCCATCCACCACCCCACCGTCTTCTAGGGAGCCCTTGATTGGGCCGGTCCTGACATCCTCTCCCTGAACATCACCGACCTTGGCAACGTCGGGGCAGGAGGGTCGCTAGCCGCCACGGGCCAGGTGCAGATGACCGTGTCACCGGTCAACGACCCCCCCCAGATACTCCTCGATTCCGAAGGCCCCGGCCTGCTACCTAGCGGTGGAGCGCTGGGAACTGATGAAGACATCCCTCTCCCTCTGGAGATGTTCGCTATCCAAGACGACGAAATGTCGGCGGCAGGCGAAGGACGGCTAACGGTTTCCCTCCAATGTTCGAATGGACGAATCGCAGCATCGTCGGACAAGCTTGCCGATGAAGAGGATGCCGAGTCTTTGATGGAGGTGGCCTGGATTGTCGGAGGCGGTGCTGAGGCCGCCGGCACCGGGCCGTGGCAGGCCGTAGTGTTCTCCGGGGGGCTTCTACAAACCAATAGAGTGCTAAGCAAACTGGAGTATGTGCCTTCACCTCATTGGCACGGAGTAGATGAGCTGAAGGTGAGACAAGTTAATGTGTTATCACCCGGGCTGGTGGAGAATCCTCGTAATCAACCCCACGACTGGTGAAGGTAGCGTGCCTCAGGTAGTAGTATCCGTATGCAGCTGTTCCCCAAGACCTCAATGACAGCAGATCTATGAATACCTGGAGTATTAGCTCGATGTGGTTGCTTGGTAGGTGGAAGCGAGCGACAACGGGTACGGCGGAGAGGGAGGGGTCCAGACGGCATCCTTCAGCATACAGGTGGCAGTTGTCGCGGTCAACGATGCACCCGTCGTCGTTCCGGCCCCTTCCGGAACGGCCGTGCCGGGGGAAGAAGAGGCACTCCCGGGGTTCTTGGTGCTAGACCCGGACACCGACACCGACGGCAGGCTGTCAGAAAGAATGCTCAAGGTGCGATCGATCAACGCAAGGACGCATTCGCCTTAAGAATTCGGAATTTCAGTTGAGGAGAGGGTTCGGTTGGCGGACTAAGTGGTTTGCCAACGATTCGGCGGTTTTTGTGCATTCTCCACAACTTTTAACCGTATGGTACGATTGCATCGCCGTCGCGTGATCGAGTTTCTCCTTGTGTACCCCTTTCGCCTTGGAAAGTTTTTGGGCCGTCTTCGGGGCCCACCGGAGAAAAACGTCAAGTCTACCTCCGCTTGTACAAGACATCAATTCCACAACGTCTCGGTTGTTGCGAGAGTTTCGGACGAAGTTCTGCTGTAGCGTACTCTGCATGGGTGCCGAGAGGACGTAATGAATGCGCGGTACCGAAAGAAAATCGGTTGTGGTGTCCACCCGTGCGATGTCTTTGGCCGGCTCTCCGTCGCAGGTGTCGATAGAGTGCTCGCTGGGGGCACTATCGCTCGCCAAAGGGCAACGTTATGGAGTGGCGTTTCCAACCGGTTACAACGCCTCCACCAACACCCTCTTCTTTACTGGCTTACAGGTTCGATGGGCACGCATTCGTGCCTTGCAGTGTTTTCGGCACGCGCTCGTTGTACATGTATGTACATGGGAGTTTGAGTCCGTCAACCTTTACGAAGTGTATGTACATGTGACGCCTTATAACCAGCGACTGGAGCGGCAGGCAGACCAATGAAACCTAGTTCAAATCATCATCATCATCATCATCATCATCACCACTGCAGTACGCTCTGCCGACGGGCCTTGAAAACTCGAAAAGCTCCAACACCATACCGGGGCGTGATGAACTTGACGCTCGTGAGTAAAGTTGTGCCGAACCCCCGTCGCCCAGACACGTAACCTGCGCGGCGTCCGCCCCCCTCCTCGCACCGTGTGCTAACCGGCGAAGGGCGAGATAAACCTTGCTCTTGCAGACCTGCGGTACACTGCAAGCGCCGATGAATCCGGCGAAGACATCGTTACGGTAAAATCCTCCGATGGTCTCCTCGAAGGGACCAACTCCTCCACCGTAAGCCTAGCCTGGCCCACAGGCGCCGCCACCAGGCCCCCGACACTTGCTTTCCGTTCGCCCCTCTTGGAGATGCCAGAAGACGGGTCGATTGTTCTGGGACCGGTTGATGTGAGGTTCGGAGATGGGAGGTCAGTCGTACAGGGCCAGGTGCATTGCTCGGCTGGGGTCTTTGAATTGGGACAGAATGACAACGATGACAGAGATGAGGGTGTTGTCGTGCTGGAGGGGGGGGGCGACGGGGATTCTCTAGTTCTGCAGGGGCTCCCGAGGGATGTGGCGATGGCGCTATCGAGGGTGACCTACAGACCTCCGAAAGAATGGAACAGCAGGGTACATGGGGTGGTGACCGTCAGCATGCAGGTGCACGCTTCGGAAGACTCAGAGGTGAGGGTTCTGAGTCGTTTTCCGCAGGAATACCCAGAAGCCTGGAAGCATGTCGGCTTATTTAGGGGGGTAAGGGGATATTTGTAGCCGAATGAGGTGTGGTATACGATAGGACCCTGTCCATTGCGGCAATGGCAACCACCCCGACAACATTCACGGTACATTGCCCCCCCCCGGTCGGTGATGATCCATGCACCACCATACGAACCCACCCACGGTACCCTTGGCCTCGTCATTGGTACTCAGGAACCATCTTCTGCCGGGTTGTCTGCAACCAAGACCATCGAAATCATCGTGGACGCCATCAACGACGGCCCATCTCTCATTGGGCCTCTCGCCATTGAAGTCGAAGAGGACACACCTATCACAGTGAATGGCGTTGCAGTGCAAGACCCCGACTGCGACGATGCTCCAAGGGGAGTATTGGAGATCACCGTGGCCGCTTCCAATGGTACCGTACAATTTATTGGTTCCGTTGCAGGGTTATACCTCATGGAAGCTCTGCCGGGCTCGTTGAAAGTTCGTGGGAAGACGGGGCCCGTGAACGCTGCGCTTGCGGGACTGAGCTATGAGGGCGTCGCAGAGTTCAGCGGAACAGACAGAATAGTCGTGACCGCGGATGATCTTGGCCACAGCGGCACGGGGAGTCAGCTTTCGGCTAGTTGGTCTATTGAAGTGCTTGTGTCAGCCAGCAACGATCCCCCTCTTATTCAAGCCCCCCCAGAGCTTGATCTTATCGCGGGCGGTGTGCTGTTCGTGGTCGAAGATGAGTCATCGCCGTTGGGGGTCTTTGGAGTTTCGGATATGGACGACCCGTTTCTGCGGGTCACCGTTTCTGCGAGGGTTGGAAACGTTGGTTACGGTGGCATCGAAGAAGTTGGTATGGTGGCGGTCGCATCCAGGGATGAAACGCCTCCTGCGACGGGATCGAGCGTCTCTTTCGAAGGCACCGCGGACGAAGTGAGCGATGCGCTTGGCAGTCTTACGTACACGAGCTCGCTGAACTGGAACAGCGTTGCCTACGGTAGGGATGTGGTGGAGGTGAGTCACGTCTTCAATACCATACCCGCATTCTTGCTTGCGTTTGACGCTGGACGGTCTTGAGGTACCCCGAAAAAACACAGCACGCTAATGTTGAAAGAAGGAATGTACTAGAAGCGTTTCGAAGTGGGAGACATGAGGTCATGCTTGGCATGGTTGAACCAGCAAACGCCTTCTTCGTGAAATGCTTCACTTGTTGTCGAAACAACGCCATGCCTTCGCGGTCAGCAAGCTGAACCTCCGGCATTCTCTTGAGAGTATGGTACCACTATTAAGGGTGTCATTTCCCATTCCTCGCATGAAACCGCGTGCAACGCAGGTGGAAGCGTGGGACTACAGTCCCACAGCGTCGTTGAAGGGAGGCTACGTATCTTTCGCCTTCGAAGTACACGTTACACAAGCCAATGACCCACCGTCGATCCAAGGCCCAACCGGCGACACCTGGGCCGGCCAAGAGGATTCAAAGATTCCACTCAGCAATCGCGGAGGTATCGTTCTGCATGACCCCGACTCGAGCGACTCGGACGGCGATCTCATGGAAGTTAAGATCGCCGTGGAAGAGGGCAAGCTCTTCCTGCCGCTGTCTCTCGCTGGCGGGCTGTACCTGCTCAACGGCGATCATCCAGAGGGTTCGCACGAGGTTTGGGCACGTGGCGGTCTCTTGGAGCTGAACCGTGCGCTCCAAGGCCTCATATACCAGGCACCGGGAGAATGGAGTGGGGTCGACGAAGTACAGGTCTGGGTCAGTGATCTCGGTGGACACCAGCAGGGGCAGGTTGCTCTCGAATCTTCGGCGTTGTTTTTTGTGGCTGTCGACGCGGTTGCCGACACGCCAAGATTACACTTTCCCTGGACGGTGCACTACCTCGACGAGGACACGAAGTTGGAAATAGACTTCACAACTGTTTCCGACGCAGATCCTGGATCGATCCTCATCGTGGAAGTGCGGCCGGACAACGGAAAGATTGGGGTCCGGCCGGAGCTTTCACCTGCAGAGGTTTGGAAATCAATCGAGGTCTCGAGCGATGCCTCTGCAGGGGTAGAAGGGGGAGTTCAGCATGGGGAACTGATGCTTCGAGGAACTGCAGCGAATGTGAGCGCGGCTGTCCAGATGCTGGAATATACCCCACCGAAGGACTTCGCAGGGCAGGTCGTGGTTTCGTTGCGTGCGACAGACGAAACTGGTTTGTCTACGGAAGCCGAAACTTACTTGTATGTCCGACCGATCAACGACCCCCCGGTGATTGAACTGCCAACCGGCGAAGATGGTGAAACACGAGTCCTCGAGATGACCGCTGGGGGTGCGGGTGACGCCGTCATGGGCATCACCATAACCGACGTCGACGCTGCTGACAGGTCAGACTTGTGCGCCTATTTTGAAGGAGTGGAGGCCAGAAACGCTCTGTCTCTGCGCCTTAAGTCGAACTTCGGCAACGTTTCCATTGTAGCTGACAGCGCGATTGGGGTGCGCGTGGTCGACGGGCCCACCGCTGGTCCTGGAGCGACCTTGTTTCTACAAGGTTCCGCAAAGTCTCTCCAAGCAGCGCTGGACGGGAGGCTAGTTCTCTACAGCACCGCGGCTGATTTCTCCGGGTATGATGTTATCACAGTGGACGTCGACGATGGTGGAAACTGCGGTGCCGGCGGAACACACTCGACGACAGGAGTTCTCGAGATAGACGTAGCACCGTATGACCCACCTCTCCTGGTCGCGTTCAACACTTCCGCCATGTCGGAAGATTCTACTATCTTTACCCCTGAAGGCGCGCCCTTGGCGTTGCCTGACTTGGCAGTGACGGGCGGGTCTGTGGGGGAGCTCTCAGCAGTGGAAGTTGTCCTCCTCGCCAAGTCTGGGAACGTGTCGATAAAGCAACCCGACCTCGACAGCGTCCAAGTTCTCGACAGTGGTGAGCTGACCGGCGAGCGTCTTCGTATACGGGGCTCCCCCAAGGCGCTAACTACTGCTCTCGCGGGATTGCAATTCGAACCGCGGCCGTATTTCTTCGGATGCTGGGATCGCAACATGCCGTTCGCCGACGATACTCCTGTTCGGTCTCCAAGGCGGCAAGGAGTGTTAGCTCTGGCCCGCATCTACGCCATCGCCACCCCAGACGGCACAGGTGGGGACGTTGGCTGGGACGGTTTGAGCGTGAAGCCACACCCGTCAATGTCCATCGCGCATTTGAAGGTTTCTGTGGGTTGGGTTAACGACCCCCCGACCGTGGAAGCCCCAGATACCGTGATTGTCGTGGCCTCGAAAGCAGTGGTCGAGCCATCGCTTGTGCCAGGTATTCGAGTTGAGGATGCAGATGTAGAGGACGCCCCAGAAGGAATCGGGCGTTTGGACGTGAACGTGTCGACGTCAATCGGCAGTGCGCTGGCTGTGGACAACACCATCGCCTTGAAGAACGGGCTTCGAAACATTGGGTCCAGCGAGCAACACATACGCCTGCTCGGGCGACCGGAGTACGTGAATAACGTGCTAGCAACATTGACGATCTCTCCGAACACTACGGACGGTACTACTTCGTTTGCGCCTGGAGATCGTATTGAAGAGATTTTTGTGGTCGTGAGCGATCTGGGTTTTTCTGGGAGTGGAGGGGAGCAAAGAGCGACCGCTTCGATCGTCGTCGAGGCAGGAAAGCCGGAGCTAGACAGCCAACTCGACCACGACGTTTTCGCTCTTGAGAAAATGCTTCCTCTTGTAAGCACCACGGAAGGAGCGGCAGTCGCCCTACCGGGCTTTGAAGCAGCACTTTCGCACTCCAGTGTAGTCGACGACCAGCTGGCAGTCATCGTGTCGGCAAAGGAAGGCTTTCTGTCGCTAGGACCCAGCAGCGCGGGGGTAGCGGAGGCTGCAGCGAAGGAGGACTGGGGATCAGCAGTTACATTGGTTGACTTCGTCGGCGGTGCTGAGCAGACGTTGCCAGAAGTGCAGGTGAGCGGTCGGGAACGCCAACATTGACCTTGTCGGCCAAGGTTGGTTGTCTGCGTTTAGTTGTAGCAAGTGAAGGTTGAACATGGACGTGGTACGTGAGCATGTTTTGGGTATGAACATGCAGCAGCACAAGCCTAAGTGCTTGCAAGACAACGCCAGCTCACAGAGACTGTTTCTGGCTGTTGAACGATCTGCCGCCTCGAGTAGAAACCCGTGTTTTTCTTGTGAATAAGTGAATCCATTCACCATTGCAAACATCGGACCAGCCTAGACCGCATCCTTCGGAACGATTACGAACTACAGGTGGTACGTACGACAATCCCATGGCGATACGAAGTGCAGCAAATCGACGTTATCGCGCCGGAAGATCTTTCCACAGCCGACGTATACTTTTCCCTGCAAGGGCCAGAGAACGACACCGGCACAGCCTTTGGTACGTACGTCAACGGGGGCGCCGGGTCGATGCCCGGGGTCTCCCTTTTGGACCCCACGACTAGCGCCGACGATCTGGCAGCGGCGTTGGATTCGCTACCGTCTGCTGGCAAGGTGTCTGTCAGGCGTGTGCCGACCACATCTATTGAAGACACTTCTATCGCCAGCCGACACCTCGTGACATTCCTGAGCCGCGGGGGCGACGTGCCTCTGCTTGTTGCAGAGAAATGGACGGTGAACGGAACTGGCATGGGCAATGACACTGACACCACCCCTGACGGAAGGTGAGAATTTCATCGCGTTGATATCAACAGTCACCCTCCCGCGTTGAAGCAACTACGACATCAGCCAGGAAAGGCGGGGAAATGCGTATGGCAGGTTTCTGGGCTACTCTTCGTCATAAAATATCACACGTTTCTCCTAGAGATTGAAGCTTGGTCATCCTGGCCAAGCAGCTTGCTGACTATGTTGATTTGAATTACATCCCCGTCCCGCCTGCGAAACATTGACATTGAACATCGTCGCCCGTTCCGCGTCGGACGGTACTTGCGCGCGTTCATCCTTGCAGCTCGACCAACATCCGTGTTGAAGTCAACGAGCTCGCGAGAGGAAGCTTAGCAAACGAGGTCCAAAGTGTAACCCTCCGAGCGGCGGGAGGCACGAACACAACCGGCACCTTCCGTCTGGAGTTCACAGACCTATCGGCCGATGGTGAAGAAAGAAGCCGCGTTGACGCTGATCACGATGGCAGGTACTGGACATCTCAGCTTAGCGCCAACTCTTCGGCCGAGCAGGTAAGAGCTAGGGTTAGAAAGGCACCCCGCGGCTTGTCATGTTTAGTACTCACCGCAGTGATTTGTGCTGTAGTTACTCGCAGGGTATGTGGTAGCTCACGCAAATGCTCTACAATAGCACGCACTTTATGGCGCTATTGGAGGAGACACCTAAGCGGTGTGGGGGGGGGATTGACAGTAGAAACGTTTAATCTATTTGGGTTCGATACTTTCCAAGCAGACGCAGGTGGATGGGGTGTAACGTTATGAGATACCAGTAGAATGCTACGTCGAATTTCCACCCGCATGGTTTGTGATTTTTCTACCCTTACTGTCGCTAGGCAGACCTGTACAATTACATTGCTCCCCAAATGCGGTTAGCGGCCCTCCTAGCTTCAAGCAAAACTAAACCGACTGGCGAGGTACGCATGGAATGTCCTCGGTCTGTATCGTTTTGCTTGGACAATGCCTTTTAAGACAAATCCAGTGCCACTATTGTACTTCAAACGACCGCGGTAGTTTGTTTACGGGTGTCTCGGCATTGGCAATGAAGTCGTATCGAGATGGCACGGAAGGACGCACTCATGATAGCAGTTTCTCAACATGTATCCGTCTAGGCTGACACAGCATTGATGGTGAAATGGCCACTCGGGCTACGATCCAAATTTTGTGATGGTTTCGTTTCGTGACAGGTGGCCCAAGCACTCGCTCATCTGCCGGATCTCGGCTACATTCGCGTCCTGAAGGTCTACGATGGCACCAATCGAACCTATTCGACCCCATCCAACGGCACGGTTGAGACATACACGGTGTGGCAATGGGAAGTTACGTTCGTGACAAAAGGTGGCGACCTTCCGCTTATGGCCGCAGCCTGGTTGAACGGTAGGACATCGACTGGGCAAAACGACTCCTTCGGGATGACGGGGCGATCGGCACGCCTCACTTGCGCGTCTTGCGAACCCTTCGAGAACGGCTCTTGGCCTTCCACTGCAGAAGCCGTTGTTGGGAACCGAATAGAGGTGAATGAGACCTGCCCGCAACGTATTCAACCGTAAACCTCCCAACTGCAGCAAGGTGCAAGGAGAATGCGATCTCCTAGAATGCTTTCGTGTGATGGTCGATTCCCCTGTCCGATTGTCGACACAAAACAACCATCGTGATGCACGCGGAGGACGAATTTTGGCGTTTAATGTACCGGACTGTCATTTCCCGACTCGCCCCATAGAAACGTGAAATTAATGCACTAATTATCGTTCTTTTTTTTTGCAGGTCCAAGAGGTCATCGCTGGATCGAGCCCTATCTCGGGTACGTTCTCGTTGATCTACCCGGGCCACGCCTTCCAGGAACCGACCGAAACCGCCCCGATTTCTGTGCACGCTAGTGCGGGTGCGCTCGCCTCTGAATTGTCCAGCCTGGATAGCCTAGGAATCAACAGCGTTCAGGTATCGAGGTCCGGCCCGTCCGCTGAAGGTGAACTGGCGTGGACGGTGGCGTTCGTGTCGGGAAACGGAGACTTACCGGCAATGCAAGCGGTACATGACGGCGTTACCGGGACAGACGCGGTGGTGCGCGTTGCGGAGGTAGCCAATGGCGTGGCTCCTGTTCGAGGATCCGTTTCGCTGGTGGTGTCCGGGGTGCAAGGGGAGGTGAGAGAATGAAGTGCACGTGTGTATTCTACGTGTGTATGGTTCCAGGTTTGTATGGTGCGGTCTTGCTGTTTATGTTGCGTTTAGAAAGAAGGAAAAGGCGTGTGTGCAGCTACTGGCACGCGTCTCCATGCACCCTGTTGCAATCAACATTGTTATCTGCGGATTTGAGGCTAGCAACCATCCCTTTTACACCTCCGTGCGGGCTACTAAGAAGGAGTGTTTGTTGAGTACCTCAAGCTTAATTTGTGCGTCCAAGGCAGACAAGACATGCCCCTCCTACCACATGACCTCCCACCGACCCCTCCCACAAACATGCCACAGGCTCCCCAGGCCACGGCACCTCTTGCCCATGATGCCTCAGTCGACACAGTGATCGACGCGCTTTCCGAGCTTCAGCCCGTTCGAGCTGCTGGTTTGCTGGTGGAAGTCGAGCGGAAGGGACCTTTCGTGGGTGGCGGCTACAGCTGGTCAATCGCCCTCAACCCTTCGAAAGACGTCGATGAGATTGCAGCCCTAGCGCCGACCTTTCCCACGATAGGGGTGCAGCAAGCCAACGTCACGGGCACCGGGGCAAGGGTCGGGGTCGAAAAGCGAGAAGCGCAGGAGGTACCACCGTTGGAATACTTGGTGTCCCTTGCCGCACCTTTGCCTATTGAGACAGCCGAGGTGCAGGACATGATATGCTCCCTGGCGGGGATGGCACCATCTGAAGCTGCGCTATCTGGAGCCTCATTTGTGGTCACGTTTCGTGGAGAGACAACCGAGGTGAGTGCCCATGCCAACAGAGTAGTTTTGGCCGTTTGAACGTACACAGAAAATTTCAGGGTGTTACAGGTCGGGTATTCTACCTGAGGTACGTGCAGGGAGCCCCGGATAACTCTTCGCATATTTGACCACCCGACAAGTTTGTTTTTTCTCCAGTCCATGGCAGCCCTTCCCAACTCCGTCGGATAACGCTCTGCGGGAACTTAACGTGAGTACTGCTTCCTTCCAATGTCTCAACGGCTGAAACACCCAATCGACTCCGGTTGGGTGGAACACCTTGTCTGCATGTGTCCGTCTACCGTGCTCGTGGTATCATCGGCAGGCCATAGCAGCAGATACCGTATTAAACCCAGGCGGGCTTCCTTCCTGCGGCCAGTTTGCCACCGGCCCTTGCCAGGGCGATGGTACCACGCTCAAAGAGCGCCTGGAAGCGCTCCTCACGGTAGGGGAGGTCAATGTCACTGGAATCACGAGCGATGGGATTGCTGGCGACGACGCAGTGGTCTGCGGAGTGGATTCGGTAAGAGGCTTCATCGTAGTGCATTCGCGTATGCCGATGGCTTGTACCACTTCTGTACTTTTGATGGGATATAGAGGGCTGCTCAATAAGTGGGCATCGCACGCAATACACTGCTTTGTCCACTCATCGACCATACCAAGCTTGTTGGTCGTCCTTGTGATGCCCTTCCACGTCCAGGTCTCGATCGCATGGCTCGATGGGACGATTAACGCGGGAGACCTACCTCTGATGTCTGCAGTGAGCTCCAACACCACGCTTATGCAGATGGAGGTGGTGGAGTCTGTCAAGGGATCGGCTCCGTTCGTGAGGGAAGTTCAGCGCATCACCATCATCCCCACTAGCACCAGTACCAGCCCCACAGCTGGAACGTTTAATATTGTCGTTGGCCGCAACCAGACACGCCCCCTAGCGCACAACACCAGCGAGTCCGACTTGGCTCGCTCCCTGGAGAAACTACCCGGTATTCGCAGCGAGGTCGGGGTCAACGGCAGCAGCACTGAAGATTCCCGGAGCTGGACGGTGACGTTCATGTCACCAGGACCACAGAGTCTGCTGGCTAGCCCTTGCGAAGAAGACGTGGCTGGCAATGGCACATCCCCGGACTGCCTTCTCGAGAATGCTTCGGTGAAGATCCGCCGCGTTGTGCGCGGGAAGTCGCCAGCCAGTGGAACGTTTCGCTTGAGGCTGGTTCCAGCTGACGGCGAAGCGGGTAGCACGAACGTCGCCGGCACACGCACCACCGGACCGATTTCCATTGATGCAACGGCGGAAGAACTACATGCGGCGTTGGTGGGTCTGTCTGGCGGTCAGGACGCGAAGGTGACCGTCGCACCGAACGCGCGGGCAGAGTACGGGATTGAATGGGGAGTGACACTATACGACAACGGAATTTCTTCAGTTGAACTGGTGGAAGTGGATTTCGACGACCCGGGACCATGGTGTGCCGATGGAGTCACGGGACCGGCGGCCGCAGGAACCTCTTGCGAGTTCCCTTTCGCGGCGGGTCAGGACGGGAGTGACGTGCACTTCTCGTGTGCCGGTGCCGTTGGGTCTAGCCCAGGGTGGTGCTCCACGATCCCGACGTTCAATGACAGCCACGATTGGGGAGGATGCGTGAGGTGTGAAGGGATTCCTCTGCTCTCACCCCCAACTATCCATGTCGCGCCGCTTCGGCGCAGCTTTCGCTTGAGCGGGGACCTCTCGCAAGTGTCTCAAGCGCTCTCAGAGATCGTTTACCACCCGCGTGCTTTGTGGAACGCCTGGCTTGGGGGTCACGACGAGGTGTCCGCCTACTATTACGATATGAACAGTTTGGAAGGAAGCGAGCGTTTGTCGGGAGCCAAGGCCAGGAGCGTTTCCCAAGTGTTCGTCGCCCCGGTTAACGACCCTCCCACGATTGACCTAGGCAAGGAAGCCCGGCTCGTGCACGAAGGTGAGGAGCTGCTACTGGAAGACGCCGAAATCCTGGACCCCGACTTGGCGGATAGGCCTCGGACTCCTGTACGGGTGGAACTTGAAGCCATGTCCGGCACGCTGGCGTTTGGGGACAGCGCCGGCTTGACGTTCACGTCGGGGTCACGGGACCCACATTCCTCTCAGCGGCTGGTGGTCAAGGGGCCCTTTCAGACGGTGCAAAATGCGGTGCGGCAGGTCTACTACCGGCCGCTGCCAGTTTTCCCGGCAGGGACGACGGCGGGAGTGAGAACAGCATTGGAGGTGCAGAGAGTAGAGCTGACGGCGCCGATCGTCCCGATGGTGCAGTCGGTGACGACGTCGACGACTCAGGGATACATCGAAGGCAACTTCACTCTTTCGGTGAACTGCGGCGCCTTTTTCGGGGAGGTGGACGATATTTTCGCGGACGTCAACGCTGTCAACCAAATCACCATTAACTCGTCGGCAACAATGGTCGAATCAACTCCGATCGCCGCGGACGCCCCGGCAACCGGGAATGGGTCGATAGAGACCGGGGTGAGGGAGCTTCTCTCAGACTGCGTCAGCCTAGCATGGGATCGGGCAAACGTCTTGATGGAGCTGTCGAACAAAACTTCCGTTTCGAGAAACTCTTCGTCAGCGGGAAACTTCACCCGCGACGCTCTCCCTCATCGTGGAGCTACTGCGGTCGTGTCCAGGGGTGAGCCTGATGTACACGGCAGTGTGACTTGGATGATAACCCTGATGGATGTACCTCACTCCTTCCCGGCCCTGGGGGTTGGTGCTAACAACCTCACGGGAGCAGGGATAGGACTCGACGGATCACAATACGTTTTCGACGGCACCATCCTGTCGGGGACTCCATCAATATCAGTCGATGTCGTGCAGGCCCAATCGTCGTTGTCCGGCCCCAACGGAACGTTCACCTTGACGGCTACCCCCGGGAAAGCGGCTACCAGACCTATACCGACGTCGGCTTCCGGGCATGAAGTGGCAGCAGCCCTCACCTCTCTAGCTGACGTAGGAGCGGTCCAAGTTTCAACAGGTCCCATTTTGGCCTCGCCGCCTGCGACACCTGCGTTGGGGCAGTACTGGGAGATCACGTTCTTGCAGTCCGGGTCTCCAATACAAATCGGGGATCTCCCCCTCTTGGAGGCCAGAGGGGTTGGGTTTGACGCCGAGGGAACAGAATTGCGTGTGTCCGAGGTGGCAAAGGGGCGTGCACCTCAAGATTCAGTGACGATCAGGGTGAACGACCTCGGGAATGTTGGCGAAGGGGGGTCTCTCGAAGCAACTGCGGCGTGGAACATCACTATCGTGCCCAAACACGTGGCTCCGGTAGTGCAGCAAGCCGACGACGGAACGGTGCACCCGGGGAACTTCTTGCGAACTTTCGAGGGCACCGTTCTGCAACTCCCCAGCCTCCAAGTTACACACTTTCCTGCGTTTGAAGCAGCTGCGGATGACTCTTCAAATGACCTACAGTACCTCTTGCGCATCACCTGTACCAGAGGAAGTGTCAAGCCCACCTCGTCTGCGACGGGGCAGGACTTGGCTGCTACGATGCCATCCACTACCGTTACCCTACTGAGCGGCAAGTTGGCGGACATCAACCGCGCATTGTCAAACCTCGGATACTATGCTCCCCGAAGGTATCGGGGGGTCGATGATGTGGAAGTAGCAGCGAGAGTAGCAGGGTATGGCTTTGACGGTGGCTGGGGAGCCACCAAGCTGTACGCTTTCGTTGATGGAGTCAACGACCCTCCCGAGCTCTCTGCACCTCGTGCTACGACAAGCAAAGGAGCCACGCCGACCTCGGTTGGCGGGATAAGCGTCACCGACGATGACACCACGGGAATCATCACGATCACAGTTGAGGCGGCGCGTGGGCTGGTCTCCTTCCCACGCTCGCATCGATTGAAGCAAATGGGTGCGTCCGAGGTGAGACAAGCCAAGCGGGTCTAACACCAACATAAATCAGGAACCCTCTCACAACCACTAGTACGGTGCGTGCAGAGGTTCGGCTTCACCGTTCGCAGTCTACACTACGGGGGGGGCAAATTTTCTTTTTTCGTGACCCGTCGATGAAATGTCCTATTCGTTTGAGCAAAGATTTCTGCAAAAACGACATTTTTGTTGGTTAGATCACAGAAGACCTTGTGTATGCCATGGCGCTGTGCGTGCTTACTTGATCTGATGGCCTCCGTCTGATGTTGCGATTTGAACTGGTACATTCACCCCCCCTCTTTTCTTGCTTCCCTTAGGATGTGACCGCAAGCAACAGCAGCATCGTCGCATATGGGCAGCTTCAAGACATCTCGGACGCGCTGTCAGCTCTCACCTACACCGGGCAAAGTAGCGAGTTCTCCGGCACCGACTCGATCACGCTCAAGGTAGTCGATGCGGGTGGGCTGACGGCGTCTCGCATTGTAAAAGTCGATGTCGAAGCTTCCAGTCCGCCCAAGATCACACGTGCGGGACGGCTGGCTTCACTCCCAACAAACCCTACTGTCGACGAAGACGGCGAGCTGTCGCTCGATGCTCTTCATATCTCTGTGTCGGACTTGGCAGTGGAGTCCACGGTACAGGTAGAAGTAGTCTGCACGAACGGAGCTGTCTCGCTGCCGCTCTCGGAGCAAGAGCCAGAACTGTGGACGAGCACGGACAAGGGGCACAGTCTTATCGTTGCCGGAAACACGGACCGCGTCAACCGGGCTTTGCGCTTCCTGGTGTACCAACCTGATGCTGACGTCTGGGGTTCGGATCAGCTTTCAATCGTTGCACGAGCGAGGAACGAAAACGCCATCGACAGCAATCCCGGGTGGAACACAGTTGCCGGCATCGAGTCGATCGTCATTCTCATCGATCCGGTGAACGACCCACCAACAATCCACATTCCCGACCACTTGGCTGGCGAGGTGCTGCCCTTGGCGTTCGCTGGTGAAGTGCTACCCCTGGGGGGCATCGTGGTGCATGATGCCGACGCTGGACAGCCCGGGGGCAGCCAGCTCGTGTCCGTCAGCGTAAGCGCTGTGGGTGAAGGAAGCACGGTTTCTCTGGCCATGAGCAATACCACCGTTCAAGGTCGTCTTCCAGGGGTGCTCTTCCTGGAAGGGTCGGCTGAGGGGGTGTACACGAGTATCTCTTTCCGAGCCCCCCTCCACCTAGCCAACTCGGCGCTTGACCTACTTCAGTTTTCGACCCCGTTCCGGCAGTCCAGCGGCCTGTACAACGTATCTATTACAGTTTCTGACCACGGGAACTGGGGCAAAGGAGAGGAAGAAATTGCTTCGGCTAGCCTGGCCATCGACGTAAGGTATCAACACGACCTGCTAGCCGACGCCGGCCACCGTGGTTTGGTTCAGTGGGACACTCCTCATGGGGCACTTTCTGTTGACGAAGATGGCCACTTGCACGATCTCGGGATAGCTCTGAGAGCCGACGTTGGGACCGTTTCATCCGCGAAAGGCATGTGGGTAGATGCAAGCCTCGAGGTTGACCATGGCCTCATACAAATACCGAAGAGCGGCGCTCAGATCAACGGCGAGACTGTGTTCGAAGTCGTTCGTTATGGCCCTGGATCGCTAACCGTAAGCGGGGCGTTGGCCGACGTGTCGGTGGCACTCGCGGATTCCACTTATACTCCGGAGCCGAACTTTCACGGGGTTGAAGTTCTGGCCCTTTCCGTCCGCGAGCACTTTGGCGGGGGGGTAACAACCGCTTCGGTAGATGTTGTTGTGTTTTCCAAACCCGACCCTCCAACCATCACCGTTGACATCTCCCACGAGGGCCTAACCGCTGAAGTGGGCTCACGGCTTGTACTACACGGGGTGGAGGTGCAGCATGTTGATGCGTTGGACGAATACGCGAGTGGCACAGTGACTCTACGTGCACATACCACCGCCAAAGGTGGCACCATCGCAATGAACAAGACACAACCCGGGCTTTGGGTGTACACGGAGGAGACTGGAGGCGCGCTGGTGGCCCGCGGTAGCGTCGAAAATTTGCAAATCGCCTTGGATTCCGGTGCGCTGGAATACGTGCCCTCCGCGGGGTACGACGGACTTGACGTAGTTTCGCTCAGCGTGTCCGCCGATTCTCCGTACGGTGCTTTTGGAGGCGAAAGCTCGGCGTTGCAGGGGGCGATTCACAGCGGTACCGAAAACGCAACGGCTGAGTTGCACATCAACGTCGTCCCCACGTTTGCCTCAGCAGCAGTAATTTTCGGCGGTGGTCCTTTGTTCCGCACTGTCGAAGGGAGCGGGATCGACATGGCTGGCATCAGAGTTCGAGCCCCCGGTCGACGAAACACGTCAGATACTGTCTTATCCGTCAACTTCGAGACAGCTCATGGGAGCGTGACTGTACGCGAGGCAGCCAGCACCCAAGTCATTGTCGAGGGAAAAGGAAGATCAGCGATGAGCTTGACGGGGAAGGAGCTAGACATTAACATGGCTTTGGAGGGAGCTGTGTTCAACGGAGATCCTTTCTACAACGGGGTCGCGGACGCAAAGGTGAACGGAGTGAATCGCTGTTCATTTTGGTCTTCGTTGTGAGCGGTTGTCATTGCATAGCTCTTTTTTGTTGGACTATTGTTCGTGACCAACAAAATCACTCGCCCGTTTTTCCCACCGCAGGTTGAGGTCTTGTCATCCGACGGCGAAAATCTGGCCGAAGCCGTGCTGTACGTCGTGGTGGAAGCTGTAAACGACGCCCCGTCCGTGATATGTCCCACGTGGACTATCATGGTGGAAGAGGATGCAGGCCCAACCAACATCCCAGGAGTTTACGTGACCGACCCCGATGTGCACGAGACCAAAGGAGGCATGATCGAGGTATGTCGGACCTCCACAACCGTACGCAACCACAGAAAGAAGCAAAGGAAAACATCCCCAGTTCTGGTAAAAGTCGGCGTGCAGGAGGATTGTCATGGGAAGCTCGCCCTAACCCCTGAACCCCTGAAGATATTATTGTCAAGCATCCATCGGAAAACGTACGTACCTCTTGAGGGACCTAGCCATTTCTTTTCTGGTAATAACCCTTCACACGTCAGGTGCGCGCTTCTGTCGACCCACCCGACGCGGGAGGACTATCTTTGAGTCAACCTGGACCCAGGCTGTTCCCATCGCAGTTACCTGAACCCGAGAGTGCCCCCGTCCTCTCTTTGACTAGCGAGCTCGACCAGGCCAACACAATCCTCGAAGGGTTGCACTTTTCGCCGTCTGCCGACTTTTTCGGCTCTGTCGTGGTGAACTTCGAAGTCAATGACGGGGGCGCATCTGGTCTAGGGGGTGTGTTGTCGGCTAGTTCCTCCATGTCTCTCGAGGTTACTCCAGTTAACGACCCGCCGACTGTTGTAGCGCCCAGAGAGCGCCGTCGCTCGGGCGGGCGAGGACCACTTCCCATTGTGGGGGTAGAAATCAACGACGTTGACGGAATCGCCGGGGAGACTCTATCGGTCTCAATCACCGCAGAAACCGGATCAATAACTGTGGACCACTCGCCGGAAACCTCGATTTCAACAATCTCGGGGGAAGATGATGCGAGCGTTACTGGGGTGTCCGTCACGGGTCTGTTGCCGGACGTCAGGAAAGCTCTCTCCCACGTGTGGTTTGTTCTTCCAAGCGAAGGCTGGGAAGGCGGAAGCGTTGTCACGTTTTCAACCGAAGATGGCGAGGGTGCCACCGGATCGGCCGAGTGTGTGGTCGTCGTGTCAGACCCGGCGGTTCCGCCGATCATCACCGCCACAAATGATACGTTCGTTGCAGACCAGGGGAAACAGACCTCTCTGGCGGGATTAAGCGTCACCGACTCTGTAGAAGACGCTGCCATCTTGGGTGGCTTATCTTCTCCGACGTTCACCGTGTTGGTCTTGGCGGAAATGGGAGGGGTTGGGCTCGTTCCTGTTCCACCGGGGTTATCTACTGTACCCGGAAGCGACACAGCGCTAAAGGCAGCGGCGGCCATCACCGCCGGCGAGGGTCTGCGGGGCATTTTTGGGACACCGAGACCGACGCTATCGTTTCGTGGGACTCTTTCTGCAGTGAACGCGGCGCTTGAGGCCGTGGTCTACTTGAGCGCCAACGGTTCGACAGCGCTCGGGAAAAAATCCGTGACAGTGGAGGTGGCTAGGCAAGGGAGAACTACCAACTACTCCGCCCGCCACGAGCTGACAGTGGGAGTGCTGCCCGTGAATCAGCCCCCAGAAATCAGGTGGAATGCCACTTACCCGAACCTGGAGTCGCCAGAGGTTGGTGGGTTCTCTCTGCGTGGGCTCGGGTTTGTCGATAATGACCTTGCTAGAGGGGGAACTCTTGGCGTGGAGTTGGAGGTCCTCGCAGAAGGTGACGGTCTTGTTGTCCGATCTGACGGCAGGGGACTAGAATTTTCCCGAGGGTCTGCCAATGGCGTGTCGAGTCCGGTCCTCGCTTTCCGTGGCAATGCCACTGCCGTCGCAAGCGCTATTTCCGTGTCGGCCATTATCCTGAAAAATCCAGGACTATCGAGAGCTCTCGTTCCCGCTGTAAGGGTAGCCGTAGAGGATGATGATGGCGGTAAAAGCTTCCAGGTTATCGAGGTCTATGGTAGCCACGTTAACTCGCCTCCTCAAGTTACCATCACGAACCCGCAGCAGATGTCCTTGAAGGAGGGGGGTGTCTTGGAAAGAGTGGGGGAGTTGGCTGGTATAGAGGTACACGATGCTGACGTGGAGGATTCGACTCATGGATTTTTGGAGGTGAACGTTAGCATCAGCCACCGGGCCGTACTGGAAGTACAGAACATCACGACATCAGCAACAAGCATTCATCCTGTGCAGACCATTGCTACCCGTTCCACATACAACGATGGCTACTCGACGGTGGAAGGGATGTTCAACCTCAAGATGGATCTAACGGGCCTCTGCGAAGACTGTGGAGTGGAGGAGACCAAGCCGATTTGGCACGATGCAGTCGGAAACGAAGAGGATGTTCACGTGGGGCTAGGGTCTGGCCGTGAGCCCGGGGAATCCGTCCAAGCCAAACTCGAGGCCCTCCCGTCCTTGCAGGCGCTCGGGGTCTCCGTACATTGTCAACGGGCTACCGCCCTTGGTTTGGAGGGCGGACGCGAGTGGCGGGTGACCTTCCTCGACGCTCCTGCCTCGCTGCCGATGATGCAAGCCATCGGCGTTTCGCTAGCGGGAAATGATCCTTTCATCGAGGTGGCGTACGCTGTCAAGGGAAACTCTCTCTCGGGCAGCTTCGCCCTGTCGCTTGGAGGCTATCAAACGGAGATGATATCGTACGACGCAGAGGCTCAACATGTGGCCGCCAAGCTTGAAGAGTTGCCTTCGGTCACGGCAGTGGGTGTAACAATGCGTCACCCGGTCGATCCTCAAGGCGGACGGCAATGGATGGTGACATTCTTTGACGCGTTAGAGGCGGGTGGCGATGTACCGCTCATGGAGGTGGACGGACGGGCACTCGGTGGTCGCGGAGCAGCCGTACGAGTGGTCGAATCGGTGCGCGGGATCGGTACGGCGGAGGTGTGGGAGGTGGAAACGTCAGCGGCACACCAGAACTTAGTCGTTTTCATCACCTTGACAGGCGCCCTCCAAGCCAAGGGTCACTTTACCCTTGGGCTCGACTACGGTGGGCGACAAGCGTGGACGAGACCGATACATCCTCGAGCGGTTGGACCTGCAAGCGAAGAGGATGGTGGGTTTGGGTCTTTCGGGGGTGTTCCAGGAACAAAACGCGGCGAATCTGTTGAAGCTCGTCTTCTGTCGTTAGAAAACTGGAGCGAGCTCGGGTCAGCTGCGCGGGTAACGGTCAAGCGAGTCGATTCTGCGAACGGCAACGTTGCAACGTGGACTATCACCTTCTTCGGCACGCCTCAAGACCTTGATCCGCCGACCATTCAAAGCACCAACCTCGCGGGGGGCGCCGTAGTTTCTGCCGAGGTGGCTGCGACACACAACCGCGTCCAGGGATTCTTCTATCTCTCGTACGGAGGCGAGGTCACACCACCTCTGGCGCACGACAGCACGGGAATCGAGATCGCTACTGCGCTCAATGCCCTCGAATCCCTGCATTCGTCGGATTCAGGAATGGGGGTAGTTGCGGCCACAAGACTGCAGAGTACGAGTTTGGAAGGAGGCCATCGATGGTCCATCGCCTTCCTGAGTGACCCCGAAGTTCCATCAAACCTCTCCGCAACGGGAACTTCGACGACCGGGCTCTCTGGAGGAAGCGCACGGGCGTCGGCGACGCTTGTGCGCCTTGGCGGTAGGGGTGCAATTCTACGGCTCGTCGATCTAGGGGGGGTGGCGTTTGGCCTGCCGGGGTACACTACGGGGGAGCGTCTCGCTTTGCGGGGTACGCCAGATGCAATCACGACCATGCTCGCAAGCTTGTCGTATTCGCCAAGGCGTGGCTGGAACGGTGGCGCTGATATTCTGCTTCGGGCTTACGACGGCGGCTACACCGGTGCGGGCGGAGCGCAATCCGGGTGGGGAAAGGTTTCCGCGACCGTTGAGGCGGTAAATAACCCACCCGAACTACTATGGTGTGGGAGCGTGCTAAACTCGGGGGGCGCGATCATCGACGGTGTGGACGAGGATGCTCCCTTTAGGTTGGTGGACTTTGATTGTGGGGGGGGCGGTACTCCCGCGACGCCCGTCTTATTTGATCATACTGATCTAGGAGGTCCTGGCGCGGGCTTGACTGTGCACGATCCTGACGGAGAAGGGTCGAGGATGCAGGTGAGCCGGCGGGTCAATGACTGCCGAAGCTTTTCGTTTACCATGAGATGCGATGGCTCAACCCGTTGTTCTTTTCGAGGCAGAATGCCACGAGCACCGCGGTACGTACTCGCTGCTTGGTGCATACTGTGTTGTATTTTCACAATAGGTCGAAACCCAATCGTACCTCTGACCTTGCTGGTCCTTAGTATCGTAAAACATAACCGTTTGATCTCACGCTCGAAACTATTTTGCAGGTGGAAATTTCAGCCAAGCACGGTTTCGTTACACTGACCCGACAAATTGCCGGCGTGGTATCCGATGGCGTGATCGGGACACCTGCGATCGTGTCGGGCACCCCCTGGCAAGTGAACGCTGGACTCCGCTCTCTAGTGTACGTGTCTGCCGAAGACTGGCACGGCTGGGATAGAATCGGCATCACTGTGACCGACCTTGGGGACGGCAGCATCCAAATGCCTGCGGACCCCATGACCTACTACCTCCACGTGTCCGTGGCAGCGGTAAACGACGCTCCGGTTTTTTTGGCCGTGGACTTCGAAGAGGTTAAGGTTGTGGACGGACAATCATCTCCTGGCAACGAGCAGACCTCGGCGCTCCTCGTTTTTGCCCAAGAAGATACTGTCCGGATAATTTCCAGTGTGTCCATCTGGGATGTTGACGCCAGGGCGGAAGGGGCGCTGCTCAACCGACCTGACGGGTTTTTCGGGTCTGTCAGTACTGACGGTATGGGTAACGGCGCGGAATTTCTTGCTGTGGAGCCAAAGGTGGCCCTCTCGTTGTCATGTACGTATGGGAGCCTCGGGTTGGGCGGAGGGCACGGGGGCTTAGAGGTCGTGGAGGGTGACCTCGACAGTGATGGGCAGATCTTGTCCGTGACCGGTGCACTCTCCAACATCAACGCCGCGCTGATGGAAGGGATTGTTTATACGCCGGGCTCCGACTGGAACGGGATCGACGTGGTGGAGGTAAGGTGGCGCCGTCGTTAAAGGAACGTAACGGATGACAATTTTCCTTAGAAACGAGGCGACTCTCTGCGAAACCTTGATCGCCTCATGCGTGTCTTGGCGCACGTGCACGATTGGATAGTCTGCACGAATACGTGATACATATTGCGTGGTGTCGACGAGATCAAACTGAAGCGGCCCATGGTCACGCAATTAGTGGTTTGTCGAGTTTTACATTGGTCCAGCTACGGAACTAAATTTGCCCTCAACAGAGAACCACAGGAGCACCTACCCATGCTGTGGCAGCAAATCACGTCCGGCTAAACTTGGATACTTCTTTCTGTTTGTCGTTTTCGATTTTTCCGTAGGCGATCGTTGACGACCGCGGAAATGGCGGGAAAACGCTCCAGGGCGCGAACGGCTCCCAGACTTCCAAGCTCCTGCTGGCGGTCGAAGTCACACCTGTCAATGATCCGCCGACGTTCACGATCCCGATCACAGACACTTCCTCTTCCTCTTTTTCGTACCTCACCGCGGAAGAGGACCGCGTCGGCGTCGTGGGGATTGATCACGTCGGTTGGTTAGACACGAACATCCTCGACTCGACCACCATCTCAGCTGCCAGCATCGTGCTCGAAGACGCCGATGCGGTCTATGCGCCCGGTAGAACCACCCTCCAACCTCCGCAAAGCCGGTGGACGCACGAGTCGTCGACGTCACCGCCTGCTTCGGCCAACGACACCGTGGAGGTTTCGGTTCAAGTCTCGCATGGTGGCGTTCTCCTGGCTGGTGCGAGGTCCGAAGTATCGCTTGTAGTCGTTTCTTCATCCCAGACATCAGGCTTGAATTCTTCAGAATTTGCTGCTGAAATGCGACTAAGTGGGCCATTGTGGGCGGTGGCAGACGCTTTGAAGGGAATCCTCTACAGGACCGACCTCAACTGGAACAGCTGGGTCGGGTCGGGTGCAAATCAGGTTCAGCCTGTCGTAACTGAGGTAGGTGCATAGTCAGTGAAAGGCTTCGTCTTTAGCGCTGACCACAACGAGCTCCACGTTTCAACATATTTTGACGCTGAATCAATTGGAGTCAGAAAAATCATTCACAACTGTGGGGCTGTGTCGACATCACAACCGTGAGAGGGAGAGAGGTCGTTCGAACTACCTTATGTGAACATGATCTATTGTCTAACCTGGCGTCCCTCTGTCTAACGGCGCTTGCTACCCATCACAGGAGATTTCCTTTCAAGCAACAGACTCTGAGGGGTCCACGGCGGCCGCAGTTCTCCGGTTTGTCGTCCTTCCCGAGAACGACCCGCCTGTCCTTGAAATGGCCTCCGCCACTTTCAACCCGTCGAGGCTAACACACGACGGGCTCTCCAGCCTTGTCGATTTGGTGGATCTACTCAGCGTCAGCGAAGACAATGACCTTGCCGTCCCTGGGCTGTCCGTGCGAGATGTTGACCTCAGGGTTGACGAAACGTCCACTTTCGGCGGCGATCCTGGGTTCGTAGACAGCAGCCTTCTGGAAATCACGCTGTCCGCCAGCAATGGCACGACTTCCCTCGGGACTGGAGTGTCCGGGTGCACGTTCCTTGTAGGTGATGGCGCGGACGATGGGATAATGTCGTTTCGAGCTTCTTTGGGCGGCGTGAACCGAGCATTGGCCGGGCTGACTTATCGAGGGAAGGCAGACTTCTACGGTACCGATGACCTCGTAGTGACTGTGGACGATGGCGGAAGGTTTGGTCGAGGGGCTCTGTGCGAAGGCAGCTCGTCGGGTGGTGGCGTCGAGGTCGGCGGTGACCCTCCGCCTTGTCCTCAGGTAATGAGTCGATTGTCGGCGGAATTTGTATTGTACATTATGTCGATACCAAACGAGCGGTGCCAGGCAGCAGGCTCAAGCACCTGTGACACCTGTAGGGTTCACGGTGCCCAGAGCCACTTTAGGAGTAGACAAACCAGACATGGTGCAGACCGCACCTGTTCGACCGAGGGGGCGAGAATGTTCCCTTGAGCAAGAATACGTCAACTAACGTAAAGGAATATCGAACTGCAGCCAGGACAATAAATTTTGGAGCCATGTTGATGTGCCTACATTTCAAGAAGTACAGGCATGACAGGTATGTCTGGGTGGGTGATGAGTTGCCTCAACATCCCGCTCAATATTCCACCCTGACCGTGCATATCCTCCCCCGTGTTCTACCCCCCCCACCAGAGCGACACTCTGATAATCCCGATACAAGTTCTTCCAGAGCCAGACGTGCCAGGGGTGTACTTACCCCAGGGCGGTCTGATACAAACAACTGAAGATACTGATCTGGTGTTGGAAGGCTTGGTAATCGTCGAGAGGGACGGCTTTTACCGAGAGGGAGAAATGGAGGGCAAGATAACAACTGGTGATTTAGATGTCAACCCCAGCGATGTGCAAGACGAGGGAGGAGTCGTGTTCGGCGGAACCTGGCCCGGCGAGGTGTGGTAAAAATATTTCTACCGTTGCCGGTGCTTACAATTATGCGCAAATAGGGCGAGTAGCTTTAAGAATTTTGAGCGTTTCAGTCGTTGAGGAGTTTTGTCGAATATGTTCGTACCGTGATCAGAAACGACATGGGGGAACAAAACGCGGGCAACTCAAACTTGATCGCCGTGGGCCGTTGCACTGTCCGCCGGGTCCTCTTTCCCCCTGTTTTTCTCTGCAACACAAATCAGGTTCGCATCGAGCTCTCAGCCCCGCACGCGCAGCTCACTTTGTCGACGGTAGCGGGTCTCACGTTCGAGTCTGGCAGCGGGTACGGTGACGAGTTTGTGGCATTCACCGGCCACCCTGGCGACGTCAACAGAGCTCTGCTCGGTACGATCTACCGCGGAGACCGACACTGGAACACGCTCGGGAAAGGACCGAACGAAGTTACCATTGTGGCGAGCAACAGCCACGCCGGCCTAGGAGGGCTTGAACCTTTCGCCGTCGAGAGTACCCATACATTATGGTGAGTTGATCGTTCAAGCAGAAACGCTGCGCCCGGCCATGGCGTCATGAAAGCACCCGCTGCAGGCTAACGAGGGGGGTCAGGACGTGAGGTTATCAGTGTTGTCGACTCAACAAGTATTGACTTTATGTCGGGAAGCGACGAACCAGATCCGTCCGTTCTTTTCCCGGAGCCATCATTGTCCTAACCAAGTATGCGAGGAACACGTACCGTCTGTGCCGTTAGTCAACTTCGCGAGCTAAGGAACACGCGCTCACTGCAAGAGCAGTGGCCTTCCGCCGTTACCGTTGACCAAAAAGACGACCAATGATTGCCATTCCCCGGCACGCTCTTTCAATCATTCGCAGGATCGAGATCAAGGCGGTCAACGACCCACCGCGGGTCCATCTTCCGGGACTAGTGTTCCGCCGCAACCTGTCCGTGGATTGGCCCGACATCGAGGAACTGGGTGTGGCTTTCACACACCCTTTGGTCGTGGACGAGGATACGCTGCTGGACGTACCGTCGGTGTCGGTTTCAGGCAAGGGGCCAGGATCAGACTCGAAAACGTTACAGAACTGCAGGGCAACGGTCTCCCTCATACGACGAGCCTCTACATGGCCCCTCCCCTGTTTTGACACGTCAGCCTCCCCCGAGTTATATTGTACAGCAGATTAGACTCAACCCTCCCGAAGGGAGAGAAAAATGTTGAAAACGGTTGCACTTGCAACGATCCGTTTGTGTGACGGAAGCCAGCTTCTTGCCATTCTGCCTAAACCACCACCCGGGCGGGCGTCGCATGGTGTTTTCATTGCCAAACACGACCCACAACAATCGTTTGAAAGACGCACCTCTCGCGCAAATCCCCCCGTAACGGTCCACACGGAACACAGACGTGGACGTCGACGAGCATGTCGGCTCGTACATCATGGTCGTTCTGAGCTGCGACTACGGCACCCTGACGCTTTCGCCCGCGGCTGGTCTGAGGTTCGTCTCTGGAGAAACAGCTGTCTGGGCGGGAGACGTGTCGTTCAGCGGCACCGCCTCATTCTACGCGGGCTTGAGCACTGCCAATGGGGCATTGGGAGCCATGACGTACCTGCCGAATAAGGACTGGCATGGGAACGACACCCTGACCGTTGTCGCCGATGACCGTGGTTGGTCGACTGAGGTGGGGACCACAACCCTTCTTGTAGGACTGCTTGCTGACGGAAGCTGACGTTATGTTGTTTTGCCTGGCAATTATGATGGTGTTGGTCGGCGTCTAGAGCAATGAGGCAAGGCGTTCAAAGAGTGTCCTCGAGATTCCTGCCTCAGGTGGTTGACAGAGGCCAGACAACAAGCGCAAGGGTGGACTTTCTGTGAGCCTAGCCCCTCATCTAATGACCGTGGTAGTTTCCACGCGTTCGAGGAATATCACGGCATTGTGCTCGCATATTGAGGTTCCGCCTTCCTCATTAAGGCAACGTACAAATAATTGTCGTAGCTACGTGCGGCAGCAACCCAACGGCACGTTTCTCGCGTGTCTATTTTCTTGCCGAATCCTCATATTTCGCTCGTCCTGCACTCGACCGACGCAACCGGGCCATCACACTCGTAACACCCCTACGCGACCAGGCAAGCACCGGAGACAGGCCTGGTTTGACGAGCAACCACTCGCTGACGATCGTGGTCAACCCTCTGCCGGACCGTCCCTCATGGTCCGCTCCGCCGTTCCCCCTTATGGCGGCGGAGGACGAGGCAATGCCTGTGGCCGGTGTCTCAGTCACGGATCCCGACGATGAAATATACCTTTGGGTGAATGTGTGGGCCGAGCAGGGAAGGGTGGGGCTTCCCAGCGCAGCGAATGCCTCATCTTCGCTAAAGGTTGAGGAGGGGATAGGGGACGATGGAGAGGGAGACGGCGCCTTTGCCTTGACGGGAGATGAAGTCGCCCTGAACTTGGCCCTTGCGGGGTTGGTATACTACCCCCCTCCGGACTGGACTTCGTTCAATCAGGTTTGTGAGGCGTGATACTGTGTTGTCGGTCTACTGTTCGAGAAATAAAACGACCCGGCCGATCGTTGCAGCACCAATCCATCCCTAACTGTAGTTGGCGTATGAAGGTTTGAGACGTGGAGTACTGGATAGAAGCTCATGCTTTCGAAAGCTTTCGAGATATCGCCAAACGAGTAACTCACTCACACGGCGTGTACCATCGACAGACGTGTTGTTATTGTTGTGGCTATCTTCACCTTGAAAATCGTGGTCTGCTGAACACACCATTATAATGATGTGTACCGAACTGCTTGCCCAGGCCGACGGGATCCATCTCTCAGCAGAAGACCCTTCAGGCCTGTCCTCTCACGTGCGGCTAGTGGTCGTGGTTGCCTCCGGACGCAACGATCCCCCTCAAGTGCACGTGCCCGGGGCGACCTACGTCGAAGAGCCATGCGACTCAAAATCGGGGAAGATCGGATTGCCGTCTCCGCAGCACCCACCTGCAATCGGCCGTCAATGCCGTCGCATCACGACCGTGGATCGAATCCAGACGAACGAAGACAAGGCGTTGGCGATTGAGGGCGTTTACATCGAAGATTCCGATTTTCACGAGGCCGGGCCGGGCGCGCAGATCGACGTGGACGTCGAAGCGCAGCACGGCTCTCTGGGATTCGCGGGGATGGCCGGGTCGCCTCCCACGGGCATCTTGTTCCTCCCCGACGCCGACGGGGAGAACCAACAAGGAGAGCGCTTGCTGTCCATGCGCGGAGCCTTGGCTTCCGTAAATGTCGCTCTGGCCAGGCTCACTTACACCCCTGACCCTGATTGGAGCGGATCGGACGAGGTAGAAGTGAGAGTTAACGACAGGGGTTTCTCTGGTAGCGGGGGGGCGGGCACCGATTCACGGGGCATCCCGATCGACGTGGCACCACAACAGGATGCCCCCCTGCTCTTGGTGACTGCAACGGGGGCGGCAGGGGCGGGAGCAGCAGCGCCCCCTCCACCTCTAGATGTATGGGAGGACGCACGCGTGGTCCTGCACAACGTGACCCTCTACGATGCCGATGTTAACCCGAGAGAGCTTCACCGGCAGATCTTCGGCATTTCTTCGAGCACCCCATACGACGACTATCCCGCAGACGTTTTCGGTGGGACGTTTCAGGTGACCGTCAAGGTCGACAACGGTAGAGTTTTTTTTCCGCGGTCAGCCGGGCTCGCCTTCGAACCTGCCACGGCCATGAGCTTAGAGCAGAGTGAAATGGACGGTTCGGCGGGGCAGAGCATGGCCCCGTTCGCCCAGGGAGCAACGTTCGCTTCATCCACGCTCGATACCAACGAAACCGTGGGAGCAGGGGCTCTGCATGTGCCGTGGTGGCGGGAAGCGAGGTTCACGGGACGATTGCATGACTGCAACGACGCCCTGGGTGCCATGACCTACTGGCCGGATGTAAACTGGAACGGAGTCGACCGCGTTCACGTCAGCGTTATTGAATCGTCGCCAGACGGGGCAGCGAGCGGCGCCCGCAGCAGCAGCAGCAGCATGACCCAGGGGTCGCACGTCGCTGTCGAGGTTTCGATGTTTGTGCGGGTAGCCGCCGTGAACGATGCCCCCGTAGTTACCCCTCCTTCGCCTCAATGGCATTCCACTCTTCGCACAGGGGATCTCCTTTCACCTACCGCACGCTACGGAAGCCGGGTGTTTGTGGCAGAGGACAGTGAGCTATTGCTCCCAGGTTTTATCATTCGCGACGTTGATCTCGCTGAAGGTGGTGGGGAGAGCGCGATGATCACAGTCACGGTGACATGCGGACATGGCACGGCTTCCATCACCTGGCATGGCGTTCGAGCCGGGGTGGGACCAGGGGACAGTCGCCACCCCCAGGAGCAAAACTCAATGGGCGCAGACCTCACGGGGCTCCTCTTCCGCAACGAAGTAACCGGGGACTGGGCTCCTTGGGAGGGCGAGGGTATGGGGGTGGGGCGGAAAAGCTTCACTTTCAGGACGCCTCTTGCCGACGCCAACGCTGCCCTGCAAACATTGGCGTTCAGACCCACGGATAACTATTTTGGCGGCGGGGCCTGGGTGAGGGTAGAGGCGTTCGATGAAGGTTTTTCGGGACAAGGTTCGATCGGTGCCGCCACAAGCGCCGCAGCAGGCCAGTCAGCCCAGCCTGGTGCTGCAGCCGGGTACAACGGAGTCTCTTCACGAGGGGAAGCTACCGTACCAATTACGGTCCTGGCCGTCAACGACCCACCCAGTATCCAGCTGCCCTACGCAGAGGACGGCATCGTTATCTTGAGGATCGATGAGGGAGAAGAGCGACGTCTGGACGGGGCGAGGTGGCGGGGCTCTTTCGCCGCTGCCGTGCAGGCATCGGCCTACTTGCCGAACCGGAAAGGGATCGAGCTGTGGACGAGCCAGGGGGTGTTTCCTGGGAGAGATGCGGGGAGATGGGGGAGAGGGTCCGAGCTAGAGTGGAGAAAGGCGTTAGTGTTGGACCTAAACGAGGGACTTGGAGACGGATCCCCGAGGCATTTCGTGGTATGGGGTGGCTATTTGTACTTCCAGGTGGGTGTTGCGTGTGAAGGCATGGGGCGGAATGGTGTTAGGTAGACCAATGCGCCCGGTGGACGATATTCGACGACAATCTTCTCATGTATTGACCTCCTTTCACTCCTTGCCAAATGTCTTAGGCAACCGATGCAGAACACGGCGCGGAATTGTGGCGTACTGACGGTACGAGCGCTGGCACGGTTCTTGTAAAAGACATATACCCCGGGGAGAGAAGCGGGTCCCCCACTTCTTTGACGGCGTTCGGAGACTACCTCTATTTCCAGGTATGCATACTACGCAACAGGGGCGTGGCGGCAGAGCAGGGAATGCATTGGGTGGGGCTGAAAACGCGCCGACAGAAGAACTTTGCTACACCTGCCGTTGAAGAGTACCTTGATGCTGGGTCGTCAATCCAATGGGCTAGGCAGTGTGATTTAGTTTCATTTTTTCCACATGCACGCCGCAGATTAACGACAGAAACTCACGGTGCGGGGGAAACCGAATGGGTGAAGGAGTATGTTCGATATCGGTGGATTCCATCAGCGAGAGTCATGGTGCTCATGGTGTACCTGGTGTACCTAGCCTATGCCCAGGCGCAAGGACCGAAAAGCAGGATCCTCGATATTGCTGGTAGCAGAGCGTTTATATTTCAAAGAGCATCAGGATCGACGGAAACATCCCACGTTTGTGCTTAGCAATGCACAATATTTTTTTTCCAGGCTGTTGCCGCGTTCCTTGGCCCTCGTAGTGCCGTCCCGGCGATGCAGTGACGCCTTTCCCCGCCTCTCCATGAAATAATCCCTGAAACATTAGGCAAATGGCTTGGACGTTGGATGGATGCTGCCATCTGACTACCAAGACCTGTGCGGAGGGTTCCGACAAAGCTCCTTCGATTCTACCGTGTTCTTCGCCGTGTCAGAGGTAGCTACCGTACCTCATTCCGCCGGTACTGCAGAGAAATATAGCTCCTTCTCTCGCGACCACCTGGCATTTCACGCTTCAATGGATATCCTCGTTTTGCCGCAAAGTTTCGACACCGGTGGTCATGCATGATATGATTTGCCTCCGTGGGGTTGAGAGACGTCACTTCAACGTATGTATATATTACGTTGCACACCGGCAGCGCTCCTTACATATACGTAGCACCATCGAACGTCTCCGTGGAGCTATCGAGGTCGATTTGGGTTGCACATGCACAGCCAACGGCTGATCCGTTGGCCTTGCGTAGCTGCACATCGTCTTGTTGGTGTCAGGCCGGTTTACGTGTGTGGCTTGTGTACGGTATAACCAGCCCCCTACGTGGCGTATCGATTGCAGGAGAACAAGTGGGATCCAGATACTCGCTACGACTGCCCCGACGGCTTCCACCATGCTAGTACCGCTCAGGTGCGCAGCCTGTGCTGAATTGAATATGCGTTTGTGGCGAAACCGGAACGCACTGCATGTCTTTAGCTCAGTTTTCCCGACGGCACGATAATAGTTTGCACCACACCTTTCTAGGTGGATGCGAGACGGAAACGGGGCTACGTGTAGCGTACCGTTGCAAAGGCGGCGCACCACGGACGTTGTCAACGACCGAATGGGTAACAAACCAAACGGATTGCATGTGTTCGTGGGGGCGTCAAGCTGAGCTTGACTATTCCTATCGCGGACGAAGCAAGGTCGCTGCGTGGCGCGCACCATTTTCCCGAAATATTTCCTAACAGGGCTTCGCGTTGTTCACGGGGACCCAACACGACGACCGCGAAGCCGCGTCCGTGGAGCCTACGGTGTACTTCGGACAGTGCGGGTGGGATGGCTACACCTGGGGTGGACGCTCTCGGATGTACTTCCGCTTCTCCGACAGTGGAAGGTACGCACCGCATTGTATCTCGTCGTGTACCAGCAGATCACAAGTTCATCGCTGGTGCAACTACTGTCGTACCATTGCAGTCACGACGGAAACTCGGGTCGATCAATGCGTACACCACGAACGATATCCTTGTAGATTAGGCAACCTCAGGCCTAATGCATACCACGGTGTTGGTGTGACCACCGGACCCTTACCCGCGCTCCCCGCCCTGTATGTTCGTTTTTTCCAGGACCGGTGCCTACAAGCACGCCGGCCGTCGAGACTCCTACCGGCCTGGCATTGACAACGACGACATCGGTGACCCCTCCGCAGGTTTCGCCGGTATCGTCTGCGTCGACAGCGAGCAAGCTGCATCTCATTTTTTTACCACAACCGCTGCCACCAAGAGAGGCTCACTCGCACCCGGAGCGTGTCGATGGGGTGAACGAGCGAACACTGACTGCTATTTACGCGCCGGAGTAGAGCTCTGGCGTACGGACGGCAGCGCCAAGGGCACGCGTCGGGTGAACGATTTGCGGTTTGGTGTATCAGGATCGTCCCCGAGCTATCTGACGGTCTTCGACGGAGCTCTGTTCTACGCCGCCCACACAGACTTAACGGGCATGGAGATGTTCCGCAGTGATGGTACATCGGGCGGGGCTAGCATCGTCGAGGTGCGGTGGTGATGGAGGCAAGAAGATTTGCTGCCATGTGATTGTGTCATAATGCAAAGCCAACAACGCGGCATTTCCGCTCCTTCAAAAAAGCTTGTCTTGCCTCTGCTCTCTCTCTTGACTCTCTCGCCATGATGAAAGTCACTGACGAACATGCACACATCGTGAGTTAGTTTGCCTGGTACTTGATATATGCTTTCATCGCAAAATTGAAATTAGTTTAATTCCTGCCGTTTGAAACTTCCACCCCTCTTTGTTTAGGACATCGTCCGAGGGCACCAAGGGTCCAACCCAATGGACCTTGTGGCCGCCAGCGGGACGGCGCTGTTCTTCACCGCGGACGACGGTATTGCCGGCCGGGAGCTGTGGCGCAGCGATGGCGCTCTCGGCTTCCTAGACGCACGGCCCGAACTAGGCTTCCGGGTCACCGGTGGATCCGGCACACGCCGGGTGAAGGACGCACGCCCGGGTAAGCTAGGCTCGGAGCCGCTGCACCTTACGTGGGAGACAACGCGGTCCGTACTGTTCTTCTCGGCAGATGACGGGTTTTCCGGGCGAGAGCTGTGGTCCAGCGATGGCACCACCGCCGGGACTGCGATGGTGGCAGACATCTGTCCTGGCGTGCGAGGGTCGGGACCGTCGCACCTTATCGCTTGGGGTGGTGCCGTCTACTTCCAAGCGGACGACTGCAGCACCGGACCGGAGCTGTGGGTGTCGGACGGCAGTGAGGGAGGTACGCTGTTGCTGGCCGATGTCCGACCCGGCTCGGCAGGGGCGTTCCCCTCCTTCCTCACGCTGCTGGAGCCAACAGTCGGTGGGGGAGAGAGGCTGTTCTTCTTGGCCAATGGCGGTGGCTACGACGCCGCCGCGGCAACGGGGCTGGCGCAAGGGTGGGGGGGAGCACAGCTGTGGGTGACGGATGGGACGGGGAAGGGGACACAACGGGCATTCGGGCAGAAAACGGCAGGTGATTTTATGCCCGACCGGGTTTCGCTGGATGCGGGAAGGCCACCGCGCATGGCAGCATTCAATGGAGCGCTATATCTTCCCGCTACCGAGGACCCATTGGTGGCCGTTGAAACCTTGTTGGGGATGAACGAGGCTTCGGAGGAGGGGGTGTCGCAGGTGGGTAATAAGAAATTGACGAAATCATCGATGGTATGATCGCACACATGCCGTCGGTAGCTGTTGGCAATGCCGTATCCAGCTCATTTTCTCCGCTACTCACAGGTTTTATGCCGAGGCATGGATAGACGGTTGCGATGAACCTCCACATACTTAGCCTGCGGCTAATTCTTTGGTCTATTGCGTGTATGGTAACAGGCAATGGTGATCTACGACATCGACGGCGGCCCGGAGAGTGTTCTGGGCGTCATAATTGAGTGCGACAAAGGAGAGTTAATGATGGGTGACGGTTCCGGCCTGGTGTTCGACAACTCCAACGAGGCAACGATCGACGACCAAGCCGCCGACCAGTCATCACCGCCCCCACCGTCGGGAGTTCTACGATTCAATGGCACCGCCGCCGACATTAACCGTGCCATGCGGGACCTACGGTACAGAGGCCTCCCCGGACGAGCTGGTCAAGATGTTATCCGGATAACCGTCACCGACGACCCGGACCCGTGCCCGGGCGACTACAACGTATCTTCATCCGGCTTCAACAACGCAACTACATCTGCGGGAGTCAATGCCACAGCAAGAGGAGTAGATCAGGCGCCTTGCGCGCTCGGCGGGCCGCAAGCAACGGAGGGGCGGATCCAAGTGTACCTATCTGCTGTCAACCGGCCCCCTTTGGTTAATGTCCCTCAAGGAACCCTTAGAACAGTGGTCGACGCCGCCCAGGCGACAGGTGTTGGAGCCGGTGGGGCGCTATCGGTAGAAGACCCCGATGTGCGAGAGACGGTGTACTACAGTGCTGGCGGTTTGAGAATAGAAGGGCCGGTCAGTGTTGCCGTAGTTTGTGCGAATGGTCTCCTTAGCTTGGGAGCTAGAGGCGGCCTGTCTTTCTCTGAGGGGGAAGGCATCTCCGACCCAGTCTTGCGGTTTGGTGGAGCGATTGACGATGCCAATAGGGCCCTGGCAACGTTAAGCTACCATTGTTCGTCTTCGCACGATTGCGTGGCCGGAACGCATGAGATTGCGGTCACGGTTGACGACAACGGCTTCACGGGGAAGGGGGGGGCGTTGTCGGCCAATGCGACCTTTAGTGTGACCGTAGACGCAGCCGTGGAGTAAGAGTTGCCGGGGATCAACAGCTACTCGGGTGCATAGATATGGATGTACTAGTTTGTACGGCAGTGCATAGATATGGATATACTAGTTTGAACGTCAATTGTAGGGGGTAACCATGGGCATATGTGCTGGTTTTGAGGTGCTACTGTTTGTTACACGGTGATAGTCTGGGAACGAAATTCGATGTGCAAGTAAGCACGAACCAAATTCGAAATACGCGCTAGCAGCATGCTACCACACGCAATCGGGGTCGTGAACCCTCAGAGTCCGATCTCACATTGCCTTGCTGCGGTTCTTTCCTAAGATTGTCCTGATCAACCCTAATGGAAACCCCGTGGCTTCTGGGGAAAAGATGTTGTATTGTTGAGACCTTGGCTTGAGAGACAGGTTAGCAAGTGGAGTGGGCGAGGGTGGGGTGAGTACCGCAGTGCCGCAGCACCATCCATGTCGCTAGACCAACGCACAAAAGCAGAACACAATAGTTTCGGATCACAAAGATTGACCAGGGGCTAACGTACTTTACAACGTACCATGAATCCTAGGACTAATGCACAATCCACGAAGAACGTTCCTACGGTCTTCCAATAAAGTCCAAGAACGTTTACCTAACTTGTATGACCGTTCAACGAACCAGGATGACAGTCTTATCATTTGAACTACCCAACTAGAAGTACATGTTTGACGTTACTCTGTCGACACACACAGCAGCAACTATCACTAACAAACCCCGCAGTCCAGGGCTTACGCAGGAACACACCACCTATGACGACAGGTGTAGGACAGAAAATACACCCACATTGCCGCAAAGAGCTGGAGACGACCATCATCGAAAACTGGCCCATACACAGGTAATAAATGCCAAACGACCACAACGAGTCGCGCATTTGCCCACGCAGGTACCTATTTCGACATCAAATAATCCGCGGGAAACACAGGGTGTTTGTCCCCCTTTGAAGATTGAAGAAAAAGCCTATGCGAAGCACAATCATAGCTCCCGTTTGACGCCAAAACTTCCCGGCATTTCAAAGTTGGCATTTCAAACTTGGACCTCAACGACTCACGACTATGCGGTTTTTCCATGCGGCCATTACGGCGGCGGTTGGCGCCATACGAACTCCTCCACGTACCCCACGACAGGAGACCCCTCTCCGTTCTCGTTTACTCCCCCTCTCGCTGGGCTTTGGGTTACAGCGGAACAGCTGTCTGGGCACGTGTACACCGCTAGAGTGCCCCAGTCCATGCATTCACCGGTGATGAGCGGGGGTGCTGCTGCCCCTGGCCCTTCCCTTCTGTGTGCCGCCGCCTTGGTGTCCAGAGCTTTCACGTTGACGTTGGCGTCCACGCCCAAGTGGTGCAGCAGATGTGGCATCACCTGATCAAGGGAGATATTGACGTCATTATTACAACGCCAGCAGGAGAAAGGCGAGGTATCCCAAGCCCATAAGTCAAGCCGAAAGGGCGAGGAACTTTAGCAACGTCTGCCACGCTACAGCATTGCCAAAAGACGCGCAAAGGAGTTGGTCGATCGGTGAGCTAAAAAGTGTACAGCGTTCCTTCAGAATTGACGATCGTGATGCACAAGGTTCCCGAATGTCAAATTCGTCCAACCGAAGTGATACTCAAAATACAGCGTTTCCTACGATACGATGGTATAAACCACGTTCATTTCCGTTTCTCGTGTACCTGGAACTCAAATTTTCTCGTCCGACCGCATCGCGCGCAGGGAGGCACGTCCGCTTCCTCAGGAATGTTTTTGCTCGAGGACCATAGCGGACCCGCACCGACTGCGTCGTAGCGAACAACCTACAGGACAAACAAGAGACAAGAGGCAAGAGGGCGGTGTGGTGTGTGGTGCGTGAAATGAAAATCACATAAATTGGCACGGCCCCGAAAAACAAGTGGACAAACAATTGACGGACGTACCGTGTGCAATTGCCAACACGATTTCACTGCAACAACACAGCCACCTGTGCGCCACCCGTTCAGATGAAGCGCTGGCACTACACTGACACGGCGTATCACAGAAATGAAAAATCTCAACCACATGGTGTAGACGTACCACTCCCGCTCCCGTGGCCATGTCTTACGCACCGCAGAAATTCAAGAATGGGGTAGATACGCACAACACATCACACACCACACCTGCGGGTTGGCTTGCGTTCGAGTGAGGAACTGAAGAGTAGTCTTGTCCTTCACTCCGTGCACGCCCTGAATAAAACCAGCGTAGCAGGTATCGTATGCCACAAAGGAGGCCCCATAACGAGCAAGTGAGTAAGGAGGATGGGGGTCGTGCGCGGGGTTAAAGAGGGGGAAGAGGTAGCGGTTCGTATTGGCAGACGCGGCAAGCGTCTGATTGATACCACCAGGGACAGCACGGTGAGGCGCAAACCCCTTTGACTGGTCAGCCGACAAAAAAAAATTGTTGCGTTGTGGCGCCGCGGCAATGTCCACCACTACCCGTCGCCAAATATTACCACCGAAAAACCTCGAAAACGGGGGAATAACAGAAAGGACGCCCCACCGTGTGGTAATCACACGTGTGGGGGCTCCGTGCTGCTTTTTTTCGCAATTTTTACGGATAAAAATTGCCCTACCCCCCCCCCCCCCCCCCCCCCCCCCCCCCCCCCCCCCCCCCCCCCCCCCCC